TTGGTCTGGTGTCGATATGAGTCGTTGGTTCCACCTCCTGAGGATGTAAAAGCTGCTGCTCCTCTGAACGTTTCCTCGGTTTCCGTCTCGGAGCAGAACCCAGCCTGCTGAGGATCCGATCTGTGGGTCAGCTGCACTCATTTCAGTCTGAAACACAGAAAAGTGTTTGTGATATTTGGGAGCACTTAGTGGAAACCTGAACCTCCTTCAAATGCCAAATGTTATCGATCGGTCGGGCTCTAAACGCCCTCGACGGTCCGCTGCCTCCATTGCTGCTCCCTGCTGCTGATCTTCATCACCTCCTCGTCTTCGTTTACAAAAAGGAAAAACTGAAGATCAGGAACGTCAGCGTCCATCTTTTATCTGATATTAAACCAGAAGACGACGAGTTTGTTGTTTCTATGTGTAAAAACTGGTCACTGAGTGTCACATAGAAACAACATCTGAGGAACTACTGAAGAAAAAAACCTGAAATGTTCTGTTGGTTCTCATCACGTCACTGATTCAGAACCTGTTTGACGTTTAGACCAAAAATCTGATTATTTATGAAATATGAAAAATAAACAAAACGGTCAAAGAGTTCCATGTTTGAGCTCATTCACAAATAAACTGATTAAAACCCGTCCATCATCTCTACACCTTCATCCTCACTATGGGGGGCGGAGCCTATCCCAGCTGACTCAGGGTGAAGGCAGGTTCACCTGGACAGGTAACCAGTCTATCACAGGGCTACACTTAGAGACAGACAACCAAGCACACTCACATTCACACCTACGGACAATTTACAATCACCAATTAACCTCAGCATGTTTCTGGACTGTGGGAGGAAGCCGGAGAACCCGGAGAGAACCCACGCTGCACGGGGAGAACATGGAGACTCCACGCAGGAAGATCCCGGGTGTCCTCACCGGGACGCCAACCGGCGACCTTCTAGCTGTGAGGCGACACCTGCAGCCCATCTTCCAAACATCTTCTGCTTATTGTGTGAACGTCAACATCAAAGTGTTTCTCCATCAGGTTTCATTATTTATTCATAAACTGGACGTCGCATCATTTTCTCCCCAAATTAAACTTTCAGGGACAGACCAGAAGCAGCTGCTGGTCCAAACCGTCCGACACCAGAGATTCATGTTTTAACCAAATACACCAGCATCCCTTCACAGTTCTGGTCGGGTTCATCCTCAGAGATCCGAAATCACAACCGTTCAGCAGCAGAATGGAGGCGACGCTGCTTCAGGAAGGAAACAGACGACGAGTTCACCAAAGAAGTTCTGTCACCTCGAGACGACCTGAGAGGAGAAAATAGGTTCCTCCAGAAACCAATAAAAAACGTTTGAACGTGGCAGCAAAGAGACAGAAACATATGAAAACATATTAAAACAACAGAAGACAGAAATGATCAAAAACAGCAAAAAAAAAAAAGAAAATGCTGAAAATATCAGTAAAATCTTCGCCTCTGGCTGGTTTACAGTCAAACTGTGTCAAGAACTAATGATTCTTTCATGTGGACGTGATAAACATCTTGTTGAACATTTTGTTGTTGAATGAACTCCAATAAAAGCTGTGTAGCTAACCCTAACCCTAACCCTAACCCTAAACGGACTGGTGTGTTTCTGAAGGAGTTCATGTCGTCAGCTAGCTGCTATGAGCCGTTATTGATCGCTCTGAATGAAGATTTATCACAGACGATATTCAATCAATTCATTGTTTTTTTATCAACAGCTTTCCTCAAATACGTTTACGTTTTGTTCGTCTTTACGCCGACGACTCTGTTGTTTTAATAAATGCTAAAAACTCTTTACAGTCTAATTGTGACTCGGTTTCATAACGACTGACGTGTATTAAATAAGACACGAGTTCCGACTGGATTCGGTTTCAGTCGGACCGAAGCCGGATGATCCTGACAGAGGAACGTGACTTCCAGACTCCAGATCTTTTCCTCCTCGGCTCCTCTTTCAGCCTCCTCCAGGGTCTCCTCCTCACTTCTCTGCTCACGTTTCATCCTCTCGTTTCTCCTTCACCTCCTCACGTTTCGTCATCTTTCCGTCGTCTCTCTGCAGCCGATTCGGGTTTAACTCTTCGACCATTCAGCTAACGGAGCCTTCCTCTTCTCTGATTGGCTCTTCTGCCTGAGGAGGGAAGACTTCAGCTCATATGTCGGCTCTGTCTACATCCTGGACACATGGAGAACTTTAAATTCATTCTAATGTGACACTGAAGTGAAAAATCATCTGAAATGAAAACGTTTAAAACTCTGAAGGGCTAGGTCTATGTCCTGGATAACCCAGAGAGATCCCATGATGGAGCCTGATAAATCATCCTTTAAACGGATTAAATCATTAACAGCATCAATTAATACCTCTGGCTCTACAGTTAATTCAAGTTCAGTTTCTTCTTTAATTCTTGATATGGGTCCAATAAACGCTGGACATTTTGTGTTTGAATTTTGCTCTTTTGTTTCTCGTGTTCTCGCTCCGCCTCTCAGTAAATCATTGATTAACTGTTCAGGCTTTTCTGGTAACCGTGGGAACCAGCTGACTCCTCAGGTATCGATGATATTCTGGTCTGGATCACGTGTGAAGTTTTGCTGTGAGTCAAGACAGACAGACGTCAGCGGCGGTTCGGTTTCAGTGTTCGCTGTTCGTCACGTCAAGTCCAACAAAGTTTAGTTTTCTGAGCGACTCTTTTCTAAAAGTTTATTTTCTGCCACAAAGAGCCGCCGTGAAACGAAAATAAAATGGAGTAGAAACTAAGAAAACTGGAACCTGAATGTCAGGCTAAGAAGCTCGAAGCAGCAGAACCGGTGCATTCTGGGTATTGGACTCAACGAAGCACTTTGGAAACAAGAAGCTCAGACGGTGATAAAGTTGGAGAGAAGTTGTGACGAATGGGAGAGCAGCAGCGCCTCGGCCGCCCTCCGAGGTTTCCTCCTAATTAAAACCACTTCATCACTCCGTCCCCTTCAATTAACCCTCGGCCCGGCCAATCAGGCGCTATCTCGTTAAGGCGGACCGTCGGCCACCTCTCTAATCTCTCGCCGGGACGAGAGGCAGCGGACGCTAATTAGAGCCGAGCGAAGCGGCGGCTTCGTTTCCCCGCTGAGCCTGAACTCGACCTCCATCAGCAAACTTTCTGAGAAGAGTTTTATTGTGAAAAAGAGAGGATGGAGGGGGCGGAGCCTGAGCTGGTTTATGTGGCAACACCTGAAAGCTGGACGAAGGACTCAGAACAGAAGCGCTGAAAGAGATCGACAAAGAGGGTCCAGGAAGTACACAGAGCCATCAAGATAAACACTGTGTCCATTTCATTCCAAATTAAAACTAAACATCAAACTTGTTCTTTTTTAGCAGATTTTATGAGTTCAACAGAAAACTGAAGCATCAAACTGAAAGTCAACGTTTCACCTGAAAGAAAAAGCTTCTTGATCCAGGATGTAGACGGATCCTGACAAACTAAAGAAAGAGAAATCGTTTCTCTCTGCACCATTTGGCATCCCTCCTTAAACTACTGTAAATGTTAGTTGAATATCAGTGAACACTAGTGCATTCCAGGAAATAGACTGAGCCCTGGAGATGAATTATGTTTTTTCTCTCGGTTTTATTTTTTCAGCTGTAGATTAAAACTTCAGAAAATCTACAAACTTCCTCATTAAAGCTGAAGTTGTGACTCTGAGCTTCACTTCTGGAGTTAAACTGTGAACCTCCGTCGCTCTTCTTCTTCTCCTCGTTTATGTCCCTGCAGACGTTCAGGGTTTCTGTTGTCGTGGCGATCAAACTCACCTCCAGCTCATCTTTAATGACAGTCAAGACACAGCTGCTTGGTTCTGGTTGGTTCTGATTGGTTAGGGCTGGACGGCTAACTCAGGTAAACGTCTTCATGTTCTCAGTTTGTACTTTAAGCTCCTGAGTTGATACTAAAACGCGTTTGCAGCATGTCACACCTGCAGATCTCTGACTGACAACACAAGCTGCAGCAGAGACTCGGGAGCGTTGAGCCTCACAAACGGACATAAAAGTAGAAGCTCTTGAAGCTACCAGCAGCTCTGAGGCCCAGACGATCAATTCGCTGTGTTGGTTTCGGGCCTGAAACTCCTCCGGCTCTGCAGACCTGTCGGTTATTTCAGGACTCAGGAAGGAGGAGGAAGAATCACAACAACAAAGTGCCACAAAAACCCCAGAAGCTCCAGGTTCCAGTTCAGGACGGTTACGAGGATAAAACCCACAGCAGGAAGCAAACATTTGCATCTATTGACCCGCTGCTGCTGTGATTCGTATCGCGCTAACCGAGCTAACCGAGCTAACCGAGCTAGCTGTTAACACCGACCTGTAAAGCAGGTCTTCATCTCCTTCTGTCCCGATTTGTCGTATTTTCTCTGCATTGATCCATTTTCTACTCATTTCTACCTTCTCATTAAGCTCCGCCTCCACATGTTGGCACGCTCTTATTGGCTGAGAGCTACGCGCCATAAATAGTGGACTTAGAGACTTTCCATTCAGTTCTATTTTATCTGACTTTTCTACATTTATCTCTCTTTACAGACGTTTTCATTCCTTCCTTTGCAAATTTGGTAAATTTGAAAATGTTTTTTTTTCTGGTAAACTAAAAGATTGAGTTCTGTTTTCGATGAGCTGAAAGTGACACAAAACTGGAAACAAGTTGTTTTTCTAAGCTTGAAAAAGTTGACTTTCAGAGGCAGACTTTAGGATTTTAATGGCAGTTTTTGCGTCTCTGCGTGCAAACAGCAGCATGTGGTTCATATGTAGTTCCTCAGGGAACCGTCCTGGATCCTCGGGAGATTCAGAGAACTCTGATCTAAACAGCATTTGGTGTTTTTAGTCACTGAAACGTGTCGACGTGTTCCAGTCGAGCCAAAAATAAAAACAACATTTATTAATAATAATAATAATAATAATAATAACATTTAAAGGAGAATCTAAACTGTATTGAATTAATTTTTTGTTTTTGCAGTTAATGTAAAAACAACAAAAAACACAAACACGTCGTGTTCAGACAGAATTTTATCACATTTTCTCGTAGTTACAATAATTAGCGTCATGATCATCAAGTCAGTCATAAATAGATCCATAGATTCTTCATACGGTTAGGAGTCATATCACAGCGTATATATACAGATTTAAACATTACCAACAAAAACAAAAGCAGGAGCGGGACTGAGTCACTGCCCAGCACATAGACAGATCCCACTCAATAGGTCTGGTTTGAAGCTAAGAGAGAAAAAACATCCGATTTCAGAGCAGCTTTGTGTTTTTAAAATCCTCAGAACGAAACCTCATGCGACAACTTCGTTTTTGGGATATTTTCAGATGTTTAAGCATTTTTTAAAATGCAAAGTGTTTAAAGTTTGGTTTTAGGTGGAACAGAGGTTTGTGAAGCTGCACAAGTCGAGTTTTTCTCCCTCATGTTGAGATTTTAACACCAGACTGATATTTTGTTTGATAGTGAACAAACAAAAAAAAAAAAACAACGCAGCGATACACAAGCAACATAAAACACAAAGTCTGTTACAAGCTCTAAGTCCAGTTTATAGTCAGCAGAGGCTCCCCGGTGCAGAGAGGAATCCAGGACGTAGACAGGTCCACATAGCAAACAAAAGATTCAAGAGCCGGAAAGACGAAACGACGGCAGAAAGAGTCCAAAGTTCATCAGATTCAAACACAAAATGAAGAGCTGTTCAAAGAGGAAATGGACCCAGCCCGACAAGAACTCATGAAACTGCAAAAAAAGCAACAAAACTGAAACTTTGTCCTCTGCACCATTTGGTGTCCCTGCTCAGGATGGAAGTATTCACAGAAATAGTGCACAGTTCATGTAATCCAAGGCGTAGACGGAGCCCTGGAGAGCTGCAGTATTAAGAACAAACGCAAAACACAATCATTAGTTGTTGTTGAGCCATTTTCCATCCAGGTCAACGTGAAGTGAATCCAAAGGGATGCCAAATGGTGCCGAGAGAAGTTGCTGAATCAAAACTCAAACTTTATGTTCCCAAAATAATCCCAGTGATTAAAAGATCTCAGCGTTGGATTTGTTGCAGTGTGAATGTAACAAGTTTTATTCAACATAAACGAATCAATTCATAGATGAGTCTGAGTTCAACAACCTCTGAAACTCCAACAAGTAGACCAGCCCAGGCTCAGGCCATTTGGCATCCCTGCTGCATTGCGATGAGCTGCAGTGAGACAAACAGGTCTGTCTGAGCCATTTTGCATCCCCAACTGCATTAAAAGCTATTTATAAAAGCAGGGATGCAAAACAGCTGCACAGCGTCACTGCAGTCAAAAGACACTGAAGGTTTAAGTTGTAATGAAAGCTGTGAACTCCAGGATGTAGTCACGGCCCAACACAAACACACAAAACGATTAAATAAGCCAAACGATACAATCAGTTAGTAAATGAGTTCTCCATGACATAGCCACAGCCGATGACGTGTGAACTGTCGTTTCTCTTTAAGCTGCAGGTGTCTGACAGTAACTCGTGGCTCCCACGAGATGCAAATGTGACGATCTGCGACGTCTGCTCACGTTATTGATTAAACTACGACGCAAACAAACGTGTGACTTTTATTCTGAAAGGTCGATGTTAAGGTTCGCAGCCGCCGACGTCACATCCTCCGGTTAAAGCACGTCAACGTTCTGAAACATTCAGACGACGACTGGCTTCATCATCAATGAATCTGCAACAGGTTTCTCAATAATCAATAATCGATCAGGTGTTTGATCTGCAGGAAGTCAGAAACATTCAGAAGGAAAACGTAATGAACTCTGAGTGGAGGGATCAGGCTAATGTCTGAAATAGCAGCTGAACATTTAGCGATTGATCGATTCAGATCAGCTGTTTGTTCAGCGTCATCAATACTGATCCATAATCAATATCAGTATTGATCAGTGTACCAGCTGAACGGCTGACTTCATGTTTTCACTCATTTTTCAGTGAAACGTGACAAAAGCAGGCTTCATGTGTAATGACTGAACTGGTCCATTACAACCAGAACATAGTCACGTCCAAACCCGCTGAGCTTCTTTCTGGCTGAGACGTCATGAACGTGATCGTTTGATGATTTTAAATCGATGATTAGATAAAACCGGAACCTTTCACTGATCCTGACAAACTGATCGCCGATAAGTTCAGAAAATAATCAATAATCGCTTTTAAATCCTTTCAGATGCACCTCATGGTCTTCACTGGGATGGAAACGGTTCAGTCATGTGCAGACAACCAAACCGTCTCCATGGCAACCTACTGATGAAGGTCATGACGTGCAGCTGAAAGCGCAGTCCAGGTCGTAGACAGACCCCACGCGTTCAGTGAAGCAGCGTAACTCTTTCACAGACAGGAAGTCCAGGAAATAGCCAGATCACAACAGAACTACTGCACAGAGAAACCAATGATGTCAGTCAGTGAAGATGTTTGTGCTCCAGGACGTAGCCGGGCCCGGCAGACAGACAGACATCAGAGTGTTAAGACAGAGAAACAGTGAAGGTTTACGGTCAGTCACAACAGAAATCAGAAGTCTTTCCAGGTCATAGCCAGGACCAACAGAGTAGAGCGGTGCGGTCTAATTACAGTACATTCAACAGTGATTTCCTCTCCTTGTCATTCTTCTTCTTCTACTCCGCACTAACTGCTCACACTCCAGCGTTTAGTCACAGCCGAGGAGGCAGACTCAAGTGTTGAAATCATAGCGGCTCCAGGTAATAGTCAGAGCCCACAGCAGGCCTTGTGTTGTGAAGAGTGAGTGAGGGGGAAAAAGCAACGTTAATGTCCAGGTGTTAGCCTGAGCTCAGCCCAAACATCCAGGTGAGGAGGAGGAGGGGAATGGACAGAGTGATCCAGGCGATAGTCTCATCCCGACCCAGCTGCACCACCTCCAGGGTTGTTCTCTTTACTGAGACGGACTAATTCCTGGGACAAAACCTCCAGATCCTGCAGAAACACACAGCTTCCATCAGAACAAAGTGTGTGTGTGCGTGTGTGCTTGTGTGTGTGTGCGTGCGTGCGTGTGTGTGTGTGTGTGTGTGTGTGTGTGTGTGTGTGTGCTGCGTTACCTTCTGCAGGTGCATGTTCTTGGTCAGCTGTTCCTCCAACATGTTCTGCAGCTTCTTGTTCATCTCTCTCAGGTTCTCATCTCCTGGTTTCACCAGATCTCTGAGCACAGAACCCAAACCTCCACGATCTCCCTGAGAACCTCCGTGACCTCCGACCGCAGAGCCGGACACGTCTGAGGCCACAGGAGACAAGGAGACAAGGAGACAAGGAGGCAAACAGAGGAGAGATCAACTCACTGATTTCATCCAGAGCCAGAAACCATAAAGTTTCCCTCGAATTATAACAAGTCTTGGATTTCACATTTCGTACTTTTCCGCTGACTCAGCTGTTACTAGGAATTCAGAAGCGTGCTCTGAAGCTGCTGAAGTCGGTCATTAAACAGCAAAACGCCGCTTTGTGTGTGAAATATTTCCATTATCGCGTTCAGAAAACCCAAAGTGTGTGTTTGAAACTATAACCTAAAATTTGACGTTTTTTCCATGGAGTCTGGCGGAGACGATAATCGAGTTAATTATCTCAGAGGAGACGGGAGACGAGATCTGCTGACGAGCCCCGAAGCAAGGCACTAACCGCCAACTGCTGCTGTTGCCTAGCAACCCTGCGGCGACACGCTGAGTCAGCTTTTCAACACAAGTTGGAAGCAAATGTAAACGAAAACTGGACGGAAAGTGAGTCGGCGTTTCTAACAACACTCAGAGTTTTACTGCCGTTAGACACAGCGTCATTACCGCGGTAATGGAGAGACGGACGAGGGTTAAAGCAGTCAGACATGAAATTGAAATCAGCGGGGGGAGGAGGTGATGGGGAGGAGGTGA